GCCGTCTGGTTCACACGGTGGAAAGAAACATGTTAGGCAACTCACATTGCCATTTAGATCACTTGCTTGGGATAGTGAAGTCCATGCTGCTCTGTTTGTTCATAGAGTTGTTGGCTTGCCAAAAGGACTATATTTTTTGGTGAGAAATGAGAACCATCTGGATGATCTTAAGAAAGATACTAGAGCCGAGTTTAAATGGGTGAAACCAGATGGTTGTCCGGATGATCTTCCTTTATATGAGCTTGCAAGTGGAGACTGCAGGGAGCTTTCAAAACGATTGTCATGCCATCAGGTATGTATTTTTCATTCTTTGATTTGATCATATTAGTGTAGCTGCCCTGGTAGCGTGCCCTCTTATCGCTGCCCCCTTGGGCCTCACGATGAATATGCTCCATGGCATGGTCAGCCACATCAAGAAATGAATGGCCGGCTGAAACCAAATGCTCTGTGTTGACCCTCAAGCAGTACCGCAACCCACGTACAAAACAGTGAACTTTCTCCTCCTCCGTGGCAGGATCATGGTAGCATGGAGATGATCCTTTACTTGTTTTCTCTCTATCTAATGGCATATTATGTAGAATTGTGATGCTAGCTGAACTTTACAGTCAGATCAAGCTCATTCGTTGCTTGTGATGCTTCAAGTGACCTCTTTTTATGGATATTTATTATACAGGACATTGCTAGTGATGGCTGCTTCAGCTTGGGCATGATTGCGCATTTCGAGCCCACTTTGCGCAACAAGGGTTCCTGGATGTACCCACGGCTATTTTGGGAGACAGGAGTGCTCGGACAAGTTTTGTATCTTGAATCACATGCTGTTGGCATCTCTGCTACCGGGATTGGTTGTTTCTTTGATGATCCTGGTATACCCTCCCTACCCTCTCTTTTCTCTTTGACTTGTAATAGAAGTACTAGTCTCACAGCACATGCGTTGCACGTGGATGTTGTGTCATGCAGTATATATATCCGCAAATTAACATCATTATTAAAAAATAGGCTTCTGAGTTATTTATATAGATGTTAACTATCTCCTCCATATAAATAACAGTAAGTTTGAAGGCAAATGAGCTTAAAATTTAAATGAAGCCAAGTATCAGATAATTGGATTGCTATTGTGTTGTAATGTTTTATTCTACAAAATTTTCCATGAAAAGTACAGCTATCTAAAGATATCCTTTTAGTTCATGCTTCCAGCAAACTCTATTAGGCAGAAATTATAGAGAAGTATCAAAGTCAAAATGACCACTGTTAAACCATTAAGATAAATTAGTCTCTTTCCTTGCAAAATCTCTTTTACTAATAATTTCATGGAATTTGGACTCAGTAACATCTTAGAATTATAATTTCTGCTTAAGATGCATAAAAAGATATACTGATCTGATTTCAGATATTGCCCGTTCCCAGTCTTAAAGACAAAAAGACACCTAAAAAGATAAAAGATAAAGGACACCTGAACTTGACATGTCATATCCTTCCAGTTCAGGTTGAACCAGCTATGAACTTGCATAATGATGCACCAATCAGTCCCTCACCAATGACACTCTTTCAACTCCCTTCCCCCAAAAGAAAAACGGACAGGGAAAGAAAAGAATAAAAGAATTTGAACTAGATAGGCACCCGGAAGAAGAAGAAATTCTTATCAGTAAGTGGTTCACCTGTGTATAACTATACTATAGTTCAAAAAAAAAATCTAGCATCTCTTCTCTAAAAGGAATGAGTTGGTCACTGTCTACTTGAAGCAAGAGTATCGCCACCACTCTCTTTTCTAGAATATTTAGATGTAAGAGGCTGGAGAATCATGAACACTGAATTAGAATTGCAGAGCAATCAGTTCTTGAGGTAGAGTTGGAGACTGCGAGGTTTATTAGTGAACACTTAATTATATATATTTTTTCTGATAAATATATTCAGGCATTAGTCTATCATAATCTGGTTGTAGGGTTAGCTTACTGTGGTTGATACTGTATATCTTTTTTAGTGTAAAGAAAATTCATCAACTTCTGTTTAAATCACCTTGTTTTTTCGATCTGTCACATAAAAAACTTTACGTATGTACTACTTCTGAAGTACAAAACATCTTAGTAATTGTATTAGTGAAATGTGAACCTGAACATATGCATTTATCATCCTTCAGGATCTTGTCATTTGACATGTGTGAATATACCTATTCATTCTATTGTGTCCCTTTTTATCATCCCCTTTCCTCTCCCAGATAATTAGCAAGTGGTATCGTGTTTTGGCTTGATAACTTTATTCAACTAGATTAATTGAATGTTTTAGTGCAACTAAACTTTTACCTTTTTTGTGATCGTTGCCAGTACATGAGGTTCTTGGGCTGAAAGGATCAAAGTTTCAGAGCCTCTATCATTTTACAGTTGGAGGTCCAGTTGTTGACAAGAGGATAATGAGTCTGCCAGCATACCCAGGCACTAGCGATGATGCATGATCTGAAGAATAGTGAAGGTTATCTGACTCATTATGTCCAATTTCATTAACATAAAAAGCTATTACACGTTGATTTTCACATAAATTAGGTAGCAAGAAGGTTCACTACTCATATTTTTTCAGAGAAAAAGGAAGAAAACAAAATCCTCAAGCTTAAACGATAGAAGAATATGTATGTCTTGACATGTTACATTATATAGCTAGGAACCACAATTGAATCTATGCCCATAATGTTATCAACTTATGCTTATGCCAATTCCGTCATTGTACAGTTCTTCTTCCATCTTTCAAGCATTGCAACGTCTCTTCTATAGTCTGCATGGGTCCGTCCATATGTGGCTTGTTAAGTTTCTGTTTTTTAATCTCTCGGTTCTGGTCTTTCTCTATAACCTCTAGAGCATCATTGAGTATAAGATATGGCATTGCAGATATTAGTCATGAGGTGAAAGACTTTGAAGGGTGTACATTTACTGATTGTTTTCGATTCATAGATAGTGAACACGTTCAGGTTACTGATAAAAATTGTAGTTTCATATATTCAAGTCATTAACATTGATATTGTACATTATTTTCTCGCGATTTCTTCTCTCTTTGCCAGACAGCAATGCTAAGTTTAAATTTATTGGTAGTGTTACTGATGGTGGTCGGTGTTTTTTTTTTAGTCAGAAATCAGAATGATAAGTTCTTTTGCTTAAATCAAAATGTTGCCTGAGCTGTTGGTGTTACTATCATGAATGGCATTTTAAACATATATTGTGTACAAAAAGTTTGTCTCACTACCCAATGGTATGATAGACATTCTAATTGAACAGCGTTTAATTTTTTTTATATATATAGATAAAAAAGAAGTGTTAGATTTTCTTTTTGTTGGAAATAGTTACTGGGTTATAAATGTTGGAAAAGCAAATACGACTAGTATAAAGTATTTAACAATTTCTTGTTGGCCTAACTAAAAAGATAAAAGGAGTCACAAGTGCAATGGCCAGAAAATTTGGCCACAAAATTTCAAAAACAACAAAAGAGATTTTATATTAAAATAAATTGTTCTTTTTCCTATTTTTAGTTAAAAAAGGTATTAAAATCAAAAGAATAAAAAAAATTTAAATAGTAAAATAACATAGATAAAATATTATTCTGGTCAAAATTATTTTTCCCAAAAGAGTCGAAGGCAGAGGTTTCTGTAATAGGGGGTCACCGGATTCACGTGACCCATGCTCTTCTCCTGAAATCATTTATAGTATTGTTATATTTTTATTTTTTTTGTTAAAAATATAGACGCGTGAACCATATATATATATATATTGCGACGATGATTGGGTGCACCTCTTAGTGAATGTTAGAAATTTGAATTTTGTGTCTATCTTGTTTTAGTTTTTATTTTAAAATTCGATGTAACATCTCTTCCAGTGGTTATTTGATAGCACTTTTGACCTTTTAATTAATTAAGAATTTAAACCTTGGACCTATAATTATTAAAAAAAATAAAAATTTAATGATAAGAATCTATGTCAAACTAATTAAATCCACTTTTTATACTATAGTTACTATCATTTTGAATTCTTGAATATGCCTCTGATCAAGGGTAGGGTTTTGTAAGAGAGCTCTCACTATCCAATTTTCAGTTTGAAGTCAATTGTATAAGGTCAGCCATTCAATCATTACAAGAAAGAAAAAAGACATCAAATGCATTCAGAAATTGAGATCATACTCAAATTTTAAGAGTATCTATATTACTTTTAAAGAAGGAAAACTGATGATATTTTATAAATAACTTTTTGAAATATTTTGTAAATCAAACATATATAATAATATATAAGTATCTCAAATGAATAATTTACAAGTTATAAATAGCTCAATTAAACAATTTACAAGCAGTTTAAAAGGTTATATAATAACTTCTCTTTTTCTATAAATCACAAGCTAAATTAATTTATTTATAAATCAATCTCAAATCTCTTTTATTTATTAATTAATCTCAAAAGAAAGATAACCTTTCTCCCCAACTTCTTTCTCTACATTTTACTATCTTTGTAGTATTTTTATTATTACTAGCAATCTCTCCATCTATTTCCGTTAATTTATCTAAAATATTTTTAAAATAAATAAAGATATTCATCTTTATTTGTCAGTTATAACGTATTTAAAAAACAAAAGGTTTGTGTGTTTTATCAATAAGTAAAAGTGAACAAACTAAAGTGTCTCATAATCATGACACTATTTTATTATTCTTTCCATCCTTTTTTTAGTTGCTATAATTTATTTTTTTAAAGAGTCGAGACTTATAGTATTTTTATTTTAAAATATTTAATTATTTGTATCGGGTGTTTACATCAATTCAACATATGCATGTTATGTATTTAAATTTATTATTTATTTTATTTAATCTTAATTAATTAACATGTATTTTATTTTATCAAATCACATAATAATAAAAATTAAATTAATTTGATGTAAATATCAAATACAAATAAAATTTTTTTAATTTAATTTAATTTTAAAAATTAATTAAATTAAAAAAAAAAACTAAAAAGGAAGGGAGAGAGGGAGTACTAGAATACTTATAGCAAGTGGGTAAGGCAATCAATTATAGAAAGTACCAAACCCACAAGGCGTGAGAGCACCGAAAGACTCAAAAGAGATGCTTGCCCAATGTTTGAGATACTGTCGGAAAACTCCACCACCATCGAACTTTTAAACTCTGTTCCGATCAGGTACCGCTTTTTCTCTTCAAACCAAACTTTTTTTTTCTTGAAGAAATTAACACTACATCACATTTTTTTCAAAAAAAGTTTATCTTTTTTTTTTAAGTCTACATCTCCTAGGGTTTTACCATCATGTAGAAGAAAAAAGCAACATTTTTTTGCTTACTATGTAGATTTTTAAAGGAGTTTGCCTTAATCTCTGATTGTTTTAAACAATTGGGATTTTACTTGATTTGGTGATTCCATAGAAGGACATCCTTAACACATCCATTTCAAGAACAAGAAGAAAAAGAAGTGGGTGGGTGGGGGAGGGGTTAATATGATTTTTGACCTTGCAGAAACAAATGGGGTGATGGGTGTTTTTTGTTTTGTGAAAGAATTGTGTCAGTTTGATGTTTATATTGCTAATCTTGCAGATTAATCAAGACTGCTTTTTTATGTTTGATTTTTTCCTTCTTTTTTTTTGCAGTGTTCAGGTTATTATGTATGTTGGACACCTTCAATCGTTGATGTGTAGTTTTTTTAGGTATGTTATTTAGATAATTCTATTTTTTTGTTATCATACTTAGAAGACCGTGTCTATGTTTGCTTAATTCTCACGGTAGTGCGCGTGTTTTTACGTGCAATTTGCTTACGTTCCTTATATGTATATGATTTGGGTCTCTTGATCTACCTGAGTCTGTTCATGTAGTTTTGTGCAAGTTTGTGCTGATTTTGAGTTTATTTTGGAACCTTCTGGCTATTCAACATTGGATTGCTTTTAGTTTTTACTTTTCAGGTATACATCCTGTGTTATCTATTCTAGGTTGTTCATTATCTCAATGGTCATCGTGGTTTAAATTAAGTATCAAAGCTTTTGATCTGCCAATATGTTAGAGTCAACTTTGAGAAGAAGCTACCTCTTGAGGGAATCGTGATAGCAAGTTAGAAAATTCAGGGAAACTTTGGTACTTCAATAAAGCATTTGTGCTAAATCATTGTAGAATGTAAAAAAATTCACCACGCCAAATCTGGACATAGAAAATTTATTCAAGACTCGTGTGGAAAGGGTGATATGTCTTTAATCAACTTTCAAGAAACTCATTGATAAGAAGGTCTTTCTTAATTATCAAGGTTCCGCGAGAAGTGAACTATTTTTTTTTCAACTTAAGAGTGAAAGAACATGTGTGAGATAATTTGGTAGAATAATCTTCACTGTGATATGAAGAGAACCCAAATTTTGTAAGTGGGATTAGATTTATGGAATTACAGTGAACAACATCAATTTTCCTGAGTGTGCCTGGTCAAGAAACATAATTATTCTTATTTTTGGTGTAAAAATATATATTAAAATGTCCTTTCAAAAATTGGAGTGAAGTCGTGATGATGGAAATGAGTTGATGAAACATTTCCTAACTTGTTGTCATACAAAGTAAAAACCTCTGCTTTTGGGGGCTGCTGTGAATTTAAGTGGTTTTAAGATTTGTAGTGTGGAAAGTGGAAACCATCTTCATTTTCATGATCAGGGAAAGGTTAAAAACTGACCTAAGTCATGTAGTTTTTTTAACTATTCTTTGAATGTATACTCAAGTCAAGTCAAAAGAGCTTCATGTTTCTGAAATTTTAAAGACCATGTAGTAACATCAAGTTAATAGGTGATATATAAAAGTTACACTCTGCTTTCTCAAAAAAATCTACTATCTTTGTGAATCAATATTGACTTTACTGAGGATAAAACATAATAGAAGCAATCCCTAAAGGCATAGCAACTGGTAGCGTTAAGGTTTAGTTGTTGATGTTGCAATCATTAGGTTAGGCGTGTTCCAGGACTATAGATAAAGGATTTGATGCTTATGAAGGGTCTTTGGTTAGAGATTGTATGTCAATGTAGGAATGAGTGTCTGATTAAGAAAAAATCTGTTGTAAGAAATCTCTTGATATAGCTGAAGCCTGAAAGGAAAAATTATATAGATTTTGCTCCCAACCATAATCAACAAACCCTCAAATTATTCCCAATTTAACAAAATGACTGTTGATTCATCCACTTGCCTCTGATCGAAACGACACCGCTAGCAACATCGATGACAGTGCTGCTAACAGTTCAATTAATTCTTCGGTGGATGAAGTGTTGTTGCCTCCAGAACTCAGGCGAGAACTGATGCCGAACCATGTTGCGGTGATCATAGACGGGGAATGAAGGTGGGCTAAGATAAGAGGATTACTGGTTGCCTTAGGTTAGGAAGCCAGTATTTGAGCTCTAGGGAGTCTTATTGAGCTCTGCTGCAATTGGGGAATTAGTGCTCTTTCTTTCTGTATTTGCTTTTTCCTCTGAAAATTGGTTCTGTCCTAAAATAAAGTCTTTTGAGTTCCTTTTTAAGTGATAGTTGGGTTTTGTTTGTGTTTGTCATTCCAATCATATGCAAGGAGGTTTCATATGTTGACTTCTTTTTAATAATTGTCTTGTTAGAAACAATACGAGGTATTTCTTGTTCTCGAAATATACTCAAATCGTCTAAAAAAACATCATTCATTATCGGATGTAATGTAAAATTAAAATTATTCAGTATTTAAGGCAAATGTCTCTCTATTGAAATTTCTAACTGCTTTCAAGGCACTCTAGTTAGAAAAATAATTACTCCATTTCAAATTTTTTGTATGGTTTAAGACATGACGCGAAGTTAAAGAAAGTAGAGAAGACTTTTTAGTTTTAGAGTCTTAAACTAAAGATATGTACAATGTACCAAATATCCTTAAATCTTATGGTCTTAAACATGCCATATGGAAAGTTGAAAGTAAAGAGTTGCCAAAAAAGAAGAGAGACATTTTTTTAAAAGTACTTAAAGGAAAGTAGGCAAACAAATTGAAACTTAGCGAGTATAAGACAAAATCATTACAGTAAAAGGATGTAAAATATAGCCCAAGCCGTTGTGTAGTTGTCACCAAAATATCCACAAACAATAAAAAGTGTCTTTGCTTTGCACCTACTTTTGTTATGCCTATGAATCAATATTTTAATGGCAAAGACTAAAAATAATTCTATTCCTTAGCTAGCAATAGTTTTGTTTCTTATTTTAATCTTAGAGTCCTTGCAACAATATTTGATCTATATATACGATGTAATTTTTCAGCAAAGGGTGTTCGACTGATCACCCTTCCACTACTGTATCACCGCTACTGGTTATTCGAGTCTTGGTCATTAGCTGCTTTTATTTGTTTTGTGCCAAGTGAACCCTTTTAATTTGAACTAAATTGGGGATTTAATCACAATTGAGAAAAATAACATTCTTAATTTGACCTTATTCCATCTTAATTTTAACTGAAACGCTGGATTCAAGTTTGTCACAGTTGAGGGAAAAATACATCTTATGGAATATCATGTGTTCTTTGGTCGATGAACAAAGGTCTAGGAAGGTTGTAAGTGGCCACTAACCGATGGTGGTTGGAATGAAGTCATTTTTACTACCATGTTGTTGGTTCACCCGTTAAGAAAATTGGACAACTCAAGTTCTAGACCGATAACCCGGTAAAAGATAACCTTAGTAGACCATGTCATTTTTTCGGTTCGGGTTATTGGTTACAATTTGGTTTTGAACAGCCCTGTTTGGCAGTATGATTATAGATTATTAAGTAGGGTTCAATATAATTTGTTTTGGTTAGCCTTATGTAACTTAAACTAGGATTAAACACCACAGCTATTTTCTTTTTTTGAGCCTGTTTGAGAACAATATTAGGGCTTAAATAAGCAGGGATAAAAGGGTCTCAGAGTGAGCAAATTGAAATCTGGGATTCTCCTATTGGCTAATACTTGTCCTGCTTATTTGGCTGATTTTAGTGGAGGGCATGGGTTGGAATTTCCTGCCAAACCCTAATTCTTTGACCCTATAAAATATCTCTTTTCTCTAGCAAATCTGGGAAGCAACTTTTAGATTCAAAAGTAGCAAAAAACATCCGAGTGTGTAAGCTCTTCTTTCGTTGTTCCTACTGTGGTGGTGGTGCTTGTTTTTTTGCTGTGTGGAAAACAGAGTTCTTCATTGCTGTTTGTTTCAAAGGTAAATCTGAAAACCTTGTTATGTTAATTTTCCTAGTATCAAAGACGGATTAAATGTTTAGCTTGTTGGTGGGTATTGAACGTTATCTCTTTGATAGAATGTTACATTCCAGTGCAAAGATTTTGTTTTGTTCCTATTTGTCTTGTTCAAGCCTTTGCCTATGATTCTACCTTTTTTTTTGTCTTTTTGGTTTCGTATATCATGTGTCATTGACAAGGGTTAGTTAGGTTTTTGTTTGTTTATGTTCACATCCGTTTATTTGAGCCGTCACATCCCTGTTTTCATCCCTTTAAAGGAATGAGTTAGAAGAGTTTTTCTATTTGAAGTGACGTTTTGAGAAGGAATTATTTATTTGGAGTTGCCACTTGGAATTAAGTTTGGTGCTCCATGTCACTTTTATTTGAATGCCTGGGCAAAATTGAATTATTGGTGTGTGATCTGGTAAGGAATTCTGTTAGACTGAAAACTAAACCGGTTAAGGAATTTTGTTGACCGGGAGAATGTGTTAATGCTAAGCTTTTCACACCAAATCCACTACTGAAACACATGCTCAAATTAGGTGTTCACAATCACACTAAACTTGATAACTAAAGACTATTGAAGCTAAATGGAAGTTTTTTTTTTTGGGTGTGTGTGGGGGGGGGGGTGTGTGTTTGTGTGCGCGCGCGTGTGTGTGAATGTGAGATGCAATTAAAAAATGCATCAAAGTTGGGAAATCAATTAAAAATAACTACAATTAAGCTAAACATTGTCAACTTTTGGAGAAATTACCTTTCAAAAAAAAAAAACTTTTGGATGAATTAAAATGGTGCAAAAATTAAGTGTTCACAATGTCAACTCCGGTGGGATAAGTTTATGGAGAAGAATTATGAAATAAAAGGAATTCATTGAGTGGGTTGACTTTGGTATTGGTTGTGGAAGGAGTACATGATTTTGGTTTAACATGTATTATCATGGACTAATACCGAAACATGAATAACCGTGGCTGTATACATTGGTGACTAGTAAAGAAGCTATTGAGTCCAGGTGTACTCAAGGAGCCCTGTGCAGGGTATCACGTGTTTATAAACTGTTAAAAGGCCATTCAAATGGGAATGGACGGAGCTGGGAAAAATTCCTTATGGAATTTATGATATCTATCTTGTAGATGGGGGCATGGGGTGGGGGAGGATTTTTGGAGGGGAAAAGGGTTCAAATCTTTCTCTGTGGGTTCCTTCTATAGAGAACTTGTTGGAACAGGGTAAAGTAAGGAAGTTCACGTTCTTCACTTGGTAGGTAATTGCATAGAACGGGGTTGATGTTTGTGAGGTAAAAACAACACTTATAATTGCATCTTCAACTGCTAAGATGATCTTGGTGTATAATAATGATTTCTTGATCTATCCCCCCCACCCGACCCTGGAAAGAAGGGAACTTGGTATACTGTATACAATTGGAGATGCAATGCCAACAATAAACTTCTAAGGAAAGGAGACAGATCATGGTGATTTGGTCCAGTTTACGCAAGGAACCATGGAAAACACATGCCGTATACGATTCCATTGTAGGTCTACATCACAATTATGGATAAGTATTCAAATTGTTTATTATTTCATGGGTTGTGCGATGACATTGGGACAAGTGATGGAGGAATGGAAGTACCAAAGATCGGCAATGACAGGACTACAGCTTGCTGGAACAGCAATATCGCGTATCCTTTTAACTAATCTGGAAAAGAAGAATAGAAAATGATTCAGACTGTAAATTATATGTAATCGTCCTAGGAAAATAATTTCATTTCATTTAGGTTTTGGGGTAAAGAGAGAATTCTAAGTTAGTTGGGCCAACATGATATATTTTCTCCAGGTTAGCTGAGAAGCTTAGCTGACCCAACCTGGTTCAGTTGGTCCTTTTTGTGTGTGGAGGCGTGGGTGGGGCCGTGGGGGGACTGGGGTTTGGGGGTTGGCGGGACATGAGTCATCACTCTATCTTGTGCTCACTTAAATACTAGTTGTTTTTGAATGTTTTCTGCACTCCAAGCAGTTGTGCGTGAAATTGGTGGAAGAGAAGATGTCAGTTGATTATTATTACCGTCATTACCTATTAACGAATACTTTACCTATTAAAATTCTTGGTCATAGATGTAGTCAAGGCACCCAAAGTAAGTTGACTAAATCTGGTGTGTGTCCCACACTCGCACCCATATTGTGTCAATCCAACACCAGGCAGTTGGGTTTTTGCAGGGTCAGAGGAAAAAAAGAAGATAGGGGATCCCTGTAGTTTTGCTTTGTTTGACACTAGTGAATTGCTGCTATGATCTGGACGTGTTAGTAACATTTACATCTCCTTGCGAGATCTCATGGTAAAATTTGCTCAGAATGGATGCTGATGTACCAGTTTTTTGTTTTTCCATAGGTGTCGCCTAGCCTTTTATTTTCTTGCTGTTTGGTTGCTTACCCAAGTGTACTCTCCTGCTAGTTGCTTAAAGATTTGTTTTCAACATTGGCTGATTTTTCTGGACGCTGCAACTGTTCGGTGTTGGAAATTTATTTGCCTGTTTTGTGATTGGTTCATGATGCATCTGTGACGGAGTTTGGGTTTTACAGGTTAATCACTGCAAACTTTTAGGGGTTGGGCTTTAGACTAATCTATTCTCATTACAAGTAGCTATGCAACCCAGTGGTGCAAAAGATACACAACTCCGTGAGAGCAACAGCCAGAAGGTCCATCCACAACCTATGGAGGAAGCCGCAAACCAAAATCCTGAAGCAGTTGAAGCTGTGGTATCTAGGATTTTTACAAATATCTCTTCCCTGAAATCTGCCTACATTCAACTCCAATCTGCTCATACTCCTTATGACCCTGACAAAATCCAAGCTGCCGATAAACTTGTAATTTCAGAGCTGAAGAATCTCTCTGAACTGAAGCACTTCTACAGGGAGCATAATCCCAAACCTGTGTGTGTTTCACCTCAGGATTCTCGCTTGGCTGCAGAGATCCAAGAACAGCAGAGTTTGTTGAAAACATATGAAGTTATGGTGAAGAAGTTTCAATCTGAGATTCAGAACAAAGATTCTGAGATTCTTCAGCTGCAGCAGCAGATACTAGAGGCCAGTCAGAAGCGGATTAAATTGGAGAAAAACCTTAAGCTCAGGGGCTTGTCAGAGAAAGAATCGGAGAATGCAGTTAACGAGGATGGGCATTTCTCTGTGGACCTAACTCCTGAGCTTTTCAGGTCAGCCGTGGAAGGTGCTTATAGGGCCATTCACGACTTCTCTAAGCCACTGATCAACATGATGAAAGCTGCTGGTTGGGATCTTGATGCTGCAGCAAACTCCATAGAGCCAGATCTAGTTTATGCAAAGAGAGCTCACAAGAAATATGCTTTTGAATCACATATCTGCCAAAGAATGTTTGCTGAATTTCAGAATGAGTTCTTCTCTGTGAAATATGAGAATTCAGCTGTCCCCAATGATAGTTTTTACCACCAGTATCTTGCATTACGGGAATCAGATCCACTGGATGTTGTAGTCCAAAATCCCAAGTCCCTTTTTGGGAACTTTTGCCGGAAGAAATATTTGGAGGTGGTTCATTCGAAGATGGAGTCTGCATTTTTTGGGAACTTGGATCAGCGAAACTATATTATGAGTGGTGGACACCCAAGAACAGCTTTCTATCAGGCCTTTCTGAAACTAACCAAGTCAATTTGGCTTTTGCATAGGTTGGCATATTCATTTGATCCTCCAGTCAGGGTTTTCCAAGTCCAGAGGGGAACCGACTTCTCAGAGGTTTATATGGAAAGTGTTCTGGAAAATTTCACTGTAGATGAAAACGAGAAGCCTAAGGTTGGTCTAATGGTAATGCCTGGTTTCTATGTCGGGGGCAGTGCGATCAAGTGCCAAGTCTACCTAACTGGCGTGAAGGTTACCGAATGATATTATATCTATCCTGTTTTCTGCTTTATCATTTATGTTTTAGCAGGTGTTTTTCTTGTAACATGCTGGTCAGTTTGATGTAAAATGTGTCTTGAGCTAATGCCTAGATATCTCAAAGATTGTAAGTTGGTCTGTATCCCGACTATAAGTTTTCTCATGAACTTTTGCGTTTATTCATGAAAAATACATTTTGGTTCCAAAACTGAATGTGTATCGCATATATGTTTGCCGGTATGTCAATGATAGTACATTATCTGTGCAAGTTTTATGATATGGAAATGAATCTTTAGTAGCTATAAGTCTATGATTTCATAGATTCTTACAATGTTTTAGTTTTATATCTTTTTTTTAAGAGATATGAAAAAGGTCATTTTCTTCTGTTCAGTTTGTAAGTATTATTTTTTCGCGATAAAAGTGATCGCGATTTGATCATGGGGTTGAGTATGTCCTAGATGCGTTATGCATGGACCGTCATCTTAGCTGCTTCAAGTTTTTTTAGCACATGCATATTTTAGGAGTATTAATTTAACTTTGTTCTGAATTTTTGGACGGTTTAAGGAAAACCTTTTCCTTCAATTCTACCTAAATTGATGTCGTGTCTCACTTTCAATCTTTTGATTTGTGTTCTACAAAATTCTCCAACCTAAATTAACGAAAGGGTAAAGTATATTTTTTTCTTGAAATGATAATAATAATTTGAGAAAAAGCTACCAATTCAACAAGTTTCAAGTTTTTTATGCCTATTATCTTGATTAGCAAATTTCCTACAGACCTATGAAATGGAGGTCAAGCACAAAATCTTTATCCTTACGTGTTTCTTTTTTTAACTCAATTAGTTGACCATATAGTTTGGCTAAGAGAAGAGATAAAGTAGGTCGAAGAATACTAATAGAGATGATTAGATGACGTATTTGTAGTTTATTGATGATATGACTTGGAGTTTTGTAGGTTAGGATTAGGATGAGTGTTGCCTAGTTTCGTATCGGTATTGATCTGTTACTTTTATATTATCTTATTCTTCGATCTTATTGTCTCATTGATTTCGATGATCATATTATTTATTGTTATTATTATTTTTCTTCTCCTTTGTTTCAGTATAGATTTTTTACTATAATGTACTTGTTTTACGTATTTGATTTTTGTATTGCACAACTTGAGTCTAGGGGCAAATGGAAACAATATTTTTACCTTATAAGACTGCGCAGATCGCCAAACTTCACTTGCGAGATTACATTAAATTAGGCGTTTTTTCAACCTAGCAAGTTGTTGCTGAGTTTTTATTTTAAGACGAAAAATTGGCTGGAAGGATTCTAAAATGGTAAGCTCCAGCTACCGTGTAATGAGTGCATTTGATCTTCAAAATAAAAGTGACAATCTGAATTATGAGATCTCAGATCTCTACATTATACTTTAATAGTATTCTTTAAGATTTATAACATGGTACAATCTAATAAATAATTTAGCTTGATACAAGCATTAATTCTGGTCAGCAGTTTACTCTATGTTATATTAATTTATTTAATTTGTCTGAGACAAGTTGCGTTATTCATGGATGAAAAAACGCCTACTCTCTGCACAAGTTAATCAAACAGTTGGCATCACTTACCAGACAACCAATCTAACTTATATATACCATTACATTATTCAACTTACTATCGTAGATTGTTATCGTATTATGTGACACTTTTTTTTTGACTCGTTTAGAAAATATTATATTTGTATAATTAAAAACAATTTAAGTGAAAACTTGTTAAAGAATAGATATTAATTGATGTGGTCGTAACTTTATTCATAAAGAAATCTATTGTTTAAATTAGTCGACAAGTAAAAATGAACGGAAAGTATAACATTGTTAATATTTACAAATGGATTAAGCAACTATTAAGTAAATCATAAGAAAATAAACCAATTGCTTTACATAGAGTTAATATCAAACTTTTTGCACCTAGTTCTTTGAAGGTTCTTGCACGTGTAGATCATTAAATTAAAGGAAACAAAGTCAACTCTTATGTGACAAATACTTCCCTATATAAACACCAATTCTCTTTTCACATTTCCACACTACAAATCTAACACGATTATCAATCATTCTCTTTTCACAAAAAAAACTAAACTATATATATACCTATAGATTTTGCTTCCTTCTATTTCCAAAAAATATAATGGAGAAAATTACCCTTTCCCTATTTTTATTTCTCTTCAATATATTTATTTTTACCTTTGTTGCAACAGTTGAGGGCGCTAGCGCACAACCTCGTGCCAACAAATTTGTGGAGTTACAATGCAGGCGCACACGTTACCCAAAGTTGTGCGCGGAATCTTTGTCAAATTATATCACTACTGCATCTGAACCTCAAAAGCTAGCTCATGCAGCATTGAAAGTGAGTTTACTTAAAGCTATCTACACTAGAACCTACGTGAAGAACGTATGCAAACAACTCGAAGAAACTAAGGCTAAAGATTATCAAGTGGTGAAAGATTGTTTAGATCAAATCTCAAATGGAGTTAACTTGCTTTTCAACTCGGTGGAAGAGCTACAACATTTGAATTTAGACAAGGAAAGTGAGTTTGTATGGCATAGAAGTAATGTTCAAACTTGGCTTAGCACAGTGTTAACGGATGCTTTCACTTGCATGGATGGAATGTCTAGTTACAAATTTGGTGGTTATAAATTAAAGGCTACAATTAAGGCTAAAGTTCTAAATGTTGCACAAGTTACTAGCAATGCTTTAGCTTTGTTCAATGGATATGCTGTTAGGCATAAGGCTTCTCATCACTCAAACTCTGGCAAAATTAACAAGCACTAGAAGTTATATATGGCCACTTGAATTTACAATCTTTGTATTTGATTTTATATTTATTCTTTTTTTGTTATGTATGTCAAAACGTATGTAACTTCATTAATTCTATCTGTATAATAGATTTTGATACTTTTCTTTTTCTTGCATTTTCAAAAACACGTCAAAATACAACTCCCTATAAATGATCTATAGCACTAAGATGTATAGTTAGTTATTTCAAAATAGTTGTCACGTTTTGTTTTCTAGAGTTAATTCAATTAATTTTCAAAAGCTTAATTATATTCAATTTATTTGATATTTTAAAGTTGAAATTTGGATATTAAAAAAATTATACAATGTAATTTTTTCTTATATCAATTGATGGAAAAATACATCTTAAATTACTGATCTAATTAAAATTCATATCGTTCGATTCTTAAAAAAAAATCATGACAAATATTTTGAAACGAGCAGAGAAATATATACTCTCAAAGAGTTAATGATAATACCGTTAGTAGGTCTCATTCCCTTCCGTTAGTTTGGTTGTTCTCAAATTTGTTGATTATTTTTTCTTTCGAATTGCAAACCTTTTGTTACTACATTAATTTTAGTAAAAATTTAAGGAATCCCATAGTGTAATTCAATAATTACACTCTATCCCGGCAAGTTTAGTATTTACTAAAAATCCTTTAAAATTTTTGTGCCGTGATACTTTAAACTCTAGTGATACATGGTAAATTTAAACTGTTAAGAAAAAAATGGGAAAAAAAGGTACATTTAAACTTGTTAATTAAAATAGCTTAATTTACGGTAACAGATCATTAATCAGCATTAAATTAGCACATAATTGAATATTAATTTCAAATTTTGAAAATCAAAGATTATATCATCTATTTTGAATATAATTTTCAAAACCGCATGATACATAGAAAACATTATGATACACAACAAATTCATGTGTCAATGCATCGTCTAAAACATTATACACACTGATTCAAAATGGATCAGCAAGCACACTTGATGGATTCAAAATGTATTAATGCATCATCTAAAACACTATACACACTTGATGGATTCCAAATGTATCAGCAAGCACACTGATTCAAAATGTATTAGCAAACACTTCATGTATCAATGCATCGTCTAAAACACTATACACACTGATTCAAAATGTATCAGCAAGCACACTTGATGACGCAGTTATTAAAATTAATCACTGATACATGATAAAAATTTACGGTAAAAATTGGAAATAATTTCAAAATCAGTTAGTAGGATTCTTTTTTTAACATTAAAGACAAAAAGGAACAGATTGATTTTTCAAAGAGTTCAAAACTATAAACAAATATATATAATTTAAAACTCTTTCATAGAGAAAAATTAAGAAGAAGAATTGGAATCGTCTGTGATAATTGGGTCGGCATCGACCGATTTTCAGCAAAATCATCAACTTGGATTTGATCAAGCACAAGTACTAATCCCATGGCAAAGGCACAATCAAACCCAGGCTTTATTGAGAGAGAGAAAACGTTCATCAACTTGGATTTGATCAAGCACAAGTACTAATTCCGTGGCAAAGGCACAATCAAACCCAGACTTTATTGAGAGAGAGAAAACGTCTTTTCCAAGCACCACATGAGCATAAGCATCCAATTTTTAGAAATTTCAAATTTTTTGAATTTTGAAATTTAGAATTTCATATTAAATGTTGTGAAACATTTTTAATTAAAATTAATAATTCAAAATTCAAAAAGTAATTCAGAAGATTGAGTGTTTTAGTGGAGAAAAAATAGGCATGATATGGGGAAGTGTGTGTTATAGGAGAGAGAAGACTATGTATCTCTAAACTTCTACTAAAATTAAAAAAAAGAATTATGTAATATTTAAAAAAAGAAGGGAAAATTAGAGAATACTAAACTTATAGTTATTTATTTAAGTTATTTTTCCTTAATTTTATTAAGTTACACTTGAGCACTCTATTTAGAAATTGATTTCTTTTTTGAATTTTGAATAGTATAATATTTTCTAGAGTTTAGGTGTTGTTACTTTTAGAAAAACTTTTATGCTAAATTTTGAAGTTTGTATTATTTGCTATAAAATTAATTGTCGGAGAGAAAATCAATCGAACTTTCAACTTCAATTCTTCTCTTTCAACAAACCATCTAAATTACAAATTAAAAAGATAACTGACATAAATCTTAATTAAAAGGGTTGAATTATTGTGTCAAGTCAAGACCATTCTAGAATTTGCTGGAAAGTCGTTCAACTTGCATATCGCCTTATTTTATGCCCAAATTATTTATGTGACCAACTAGGTAGTGTAGAATCTAAATTATGAGATATCCTATACAAATATCATAATAGGGGTGTTGAAAACAAATTAAATTAAAAAAGTGTCATTTTAATGGTCTAATTTTTAAATAAAATGGTAACAATAATTGACAATTTAATGATATTAGAGTAGGCGATAATTTCGACTTTCGTCCTTTTACTTTTAGA